TTGATCCCTTTATCATTATAGAATGACCTTCTTTGTCTGTTTTTCAGCTTTTGACCTAAATGTATTTTGTCTGATACAAGTATAGCTACCTTTGCTTTCTTTTGGTCTCTATTTGCATGGAATATCTTTTCCTATCCTTTTACTTTCAATATGATATTCTTACTAGTAAAGTGAGTCTCTTATACGCAGCATATGGTTGGGTCTTATTTTTTTTATCCATTCAGCCACTGTATGTCTTTTGTTTTGTTTTGTTTGGTACCGGGGATCGAACTCGGGTCCTTGCGCTTGCGCAGCAGGCGGTGAAACCACTGAGCTAAATCCCCGGCCCTACTGTGTGTCTTTTGATTGGGAAATTAATCCATTTACAAAGTAATTGGTGATGAGTATGGACTTATACCTGCAATTTTGTAATTTCTTTTCTGATAGTTTTTTATATTCCTTATTTCATTTTTCCTCTCACTGCAATATTTTGTGGTTGGATGATTTTTTGTAGTGATATGCTCTGAATCCTTTTTTTTTTTTTTTTGGTACTGGATATCAAACTCGGGACCTTGAGCTTGCGAGGCAGGCACCGGAACTACTGAACTAAATCCCTGGCCCCGAATCCTTTTTTTTTTTTTAGTGTTTTGTATAACTATTATAGGGTTTTGCTTTTTGGTTACCATAAGGTTTATATAAAATAAAACATCATGTAACAGGCCATTTTAAATTGATAATACCTTATCTTTAATCATATACAAAAACTATATAATCATATACAAAAAACTATACTTTTGCTATTCCATGTTTTATAATTTTGATGTCAAAATTTACATCTTTTGTAATTTTTATTCTTTAACAACCTGTTGTAGTTAGTTGATTTTAATAGTTTTGTATTTTAACCTTCATATTAGAGATAAAATTGCTTTATACATAACCTTTGTAATAGAGCATTCTGAATATGATTATTGGTTCCTTATATCGACTTTTGTACTTTCAGATGTTATGTTAATTAATGGCCTTTCATTTCAGGTTGCAGAATTCCCTTTAGCAATTTCTACACTTTTTTCTTTTCTTTTTTTTGGGGGGGGGTACTGGGGATCGAACTCAGAACCTTGCATTTGTGAGGCAGGCAGCAGAACCACTGAGCTAAATCCCCAGCCCTCCCTTTAGCAATTTCTGCAAAGCTGCTTGCCTAGTGGTAATAAACTCCCCTTAGGTTTTGTTTGAGAAAATTTTTATTTCACCCTTATTTCTGAGGGACAACTTTGCCAAGTAAAGTAGTCTTGGTTAGCAATTTATTTTTCCATTTCTTTGAATATACTGTATCATCCCATTCTCTTCTGTCCTGCAGGAGAGCCAGATAGTTACATCAGGGCCCCTTTGTATCTGATGGGTTATCTTTTGATACTTTCAGAATTCTTTTTTTGTCTTTGATTTTTGGTAACTTGATCAAGGTGTGTCTTAGTGAAATCCTCTGTGGATTGGACTGGTTTGGAGACCTCTGAGTTTTCTGTCCCTGAATTTTAGTATCTTCCCCTAGATTTGGGGAGATTTCAGCCATTATTTCCTGAAATATGTTTTTGGGCCCTTTCTTTCTCCTCTCTTATGTAACTGCTTGTCTTAGTTACTTTCTTGTCACTGAGACACAATACTTGACACCCACAATTTAAGGGAGGAAAGGTTTATTTCAGCTCAGTTGATAGAAGTTTCAGTCCATAGTTGGCTGGCTCCAAGGCATGCCAGGTGGCAAGTGGGAAGCAGAGAGTAATCAAGGGAGGAGGAAGGTAACAAATACACACACACACACACACACACACACACACACACACTCCTCGTTTAATGACTGTGTTCCATTCCTGCAACTAGGTCATTAAGTGAATTGGTTGCTAAATGAGGAATTGTAACTAATATGTAGATTAAAGTATTTAGAACAAAGAAACAAAGGAAACTGCAACTTGATGACTATACTTTTATTTCCATAGCTCTTACATGCAGTACTATAATGTATAACAACATAAAACTACAGTACTGTACAGTACAACACAATCAGCAAAAATTATGGTACTGTATAAACAAGATGTACTGTATCCAAAAAGACACTGAAGCTGTATAAAGAAGATGTACAGAACTGTACAAAAAAACTGAAAGGACAGGTCGTAAGTCCAAGCAGTGAGTCATAAATCTGAATAGTTGTTAAACAAATAGGAAATAGGTCATTAAACAAGGAGTGTGTGTGTCTCCAGGTCATGCCCCCAGTGACCCACCTCTTCCCACCAGGCTTCACCACCCAACTTACACCCAGGTATAAACCCAGAAGTATCACACACCCATGATCCAGTCACCTCCCCAAAGTCCCGCCCCACCTATGAGTGCCTGAGGTTTTGGAGGGATATCTAGATATAAACCATAACACTTCTGTTAGACAAGAGTTATTTCTCTTGATGGGGTTCTATATTTCTTTAGGCTTTCTTCATTCTTTTTGCTCCTCTGAATAGCTAATTTCCAATTTTCTGTCTTTCAGCTCTATTGATTCTTCTGCTTGATCAAGCCTGCTTTTGAAGCTTTCTGTTGAATTTCTCGGTTCAGTTATTATGTTATCTCTTAATTGTTTCTTTGTCAAACTTCCCATTTTATTCATGAATTATTTTCCAAATTTCATATAATTTTCTGTCCATATTTTTTTGTAGTTCCCTGTAGGAGGATTATTGTTTCTGTCATTTCATATATCTCCATTTCTTTAAGATCCATTATTGGAGGTTTATTAGTTTTTCTCAGTGGTGTCATACTTCCCTGATGGTTTGTATTCCTCGTGTCTTTGTTTTGGTGCTGCTCATTTGAGGAAGCAGCTATTTCTTCCTGCCTTTATAGGTATTTTTTGGTAGGGATAGACCTTTAGTCTGCCCTTGAATTCTGGCCAGACTGGTTGTTGAACATAGGTATACAGACCTTGCTTTTAAGTTAGTTGGGCTGAACTCCTGGCTGTGTTCTACAGTCCAGTGAGATTGCAGTGGGCTCTGCCATCTCCTCTGATTGGGCAGAGTGGCAGGCTGTATTCCCTAGCTGAGTGGCACTGCTGTTTGAAATCTATACTGGTGTGGGCTGGGCACTGAGGCTAGGGATGGTCACTACAGTAAGACACTGTTGCAGCCACTAAGGACTGGTATGACCAGAGGCTGTTCTCCACAGATGTGCACAGTTGCAGGCTTGTCTCCTGGCCAGGATAGGCAGAACTGTAGACTGAGCACCTGTGCTGGGCAGGAACACTCTCAGAAGCCCTACTGTACATGTGGAAATGTGGGAGGTTCAGCATGGTCACCCCTCCAGCACTCAGATCTGGGAAGGTTAGATGCTCTTCTCCACAGATGTATATGGGTACACTTGCTTCCTAGCTTGGTTGCAAGCCTTAATTGGAGTACCATGGCAGAGGTGGGATTATCACTCAGCCACTGGGATTGAGTAGGGCTAGGTACCCTCCTCAGCAAATATGAGCAGGCTTTTGATATAGGAAAGTCTTGGGCAGACCTCTGATGCTGGGCAGGGTCACCTCTGTTAGCTTGGGCAGAACAGAGGCAGATATACTAGGACCTGTACTTGTCTCTTGGCCTATAGAAGCCTGAAGCAGAGCACTCATGTCCCTAGAAGTAATTATTATTTTACTATGTTTGATAAGTAAAAAAGAAAGAAAAAATTTCCAACACTGCTGCAAAAACCAAAACATTAAAAAGTTGAACTTTAAGGCATGCTTATTTTTCAGTTTGTTAATTACCTATTGATACACTTTGTATCTTTTTCAAAATTGGTATGTTTATCTTTTATTGATTTGTAAGAATATGTATGATTCAACTCAAAGAGACTAAAGGCTATGAAGTGGCTTTTTTTTTTTTGGTATTGGGGATCAAACTTGGGACCTTGCACTTGTGAGGAAGGCGACGGAACCACCGAGCTAAATCCTTGGCCCTGAAGTGCCTTTAATAAAACTACCAACACTAGCTGCCATCAAATGAACACCCACTTAGGCTGAAACCATGCAAGCACTTTACTCTTATATTTTATTATTTAATATTGTTTAATCCTCGTTATACTTCTGAAGTAGGTATCTTCAGACAAAACTGAGATTCAGAAAGGTTAGCTGACTTTTCCAAGATCACAGCCAATAACAGCAGTAGGATTTGATGCCATTTCTTTGTCGCTGGAGTTTCGGGGGAGGGGTGGGGGAGGGGGCAAAAGTTGGGCGCAGGGGCAGTCGAAGCCCGCGGAGGCCCGGGAGGAGGGCTGCAGAATGCGCTCAGGCCGCCGGGCCTCGTCCTGCCGACCCGGCCGCCGTCGCGCCCGGGGTCTGGGGCCCCCGGGCCTCGGCGGCGCTTGGTCTGCTGTAGCGCCGCGAGCTCGCGGGAGCTGCACATTCCAGCACAGGACGCTGCGCCGCGCACCAGCCCGCCCGCGCGCCGCCGGCCGCGGACACGCCCCCTCCGATGCCATTTCTTTTTAACCTCTAATCCTGTGTGTTTTTCTTTATGTCCCATTTTTCTCATACCTGGCTGTTGCTTATATCTAATTATGATAATTATCTCTAACCATCTGTTTTTTCAGTATTGTTCCAGTGTCCTTTGTATTTACATTTTGAATGGAGGAAAATAATTTTTAACAAAACCCATAGCATATAAGTAGTAATTTCTCATTGTTATTTATAACAGCCTACTATATTAGGATGGCTTTTTACTCAAAGGTTCACTTTGTAGAATTGCTCAGAAATAAAACATTTCCATACCTTAAGAGAAAAATTATGAGGCTACACTTTTACATGTAATATTAGGTTTGATACAAATCAAGAAATTTTCTCACTTGTACTTTACTCTTGTTCAAGCATATTCTATGATTTTGGCTATTAGTAGCTTGTTTTCATATTAAGAACAAAATGCATATTGGAAATCTTTTTTTTTTAAGGTAGAGGTACATATAAGTGAATCAGAGAAATAGGCAAAAAATCAGTGATTACTGTTCTAAATTTTTCTCAACAGAACTTTACAGAACAGTATGGCAAAGCTGCTCTCAGATCTTAGTGTGGATACTACTCGCTGCAAGCCTGGGAATAACCTTACCAAATCACTTCTGCACACTTATGATAAACAACTTCAACAGGACCCCACCCCTCCTCACACTTCCGTAATGAATTACCTAAATAAGTTAGAAACAAATCACAGTTTTACTCATTCAGAGCCACTTTCTGCAGTTAAGGATGAGGAAACCATAAACGCAAACAGACCCTGTGAAAACGTCTTGCCTTCCAGAGGCCCTCCACATGGTGACTCTAGGGCCGTGGAGGGGGTGTCCGCCCCTGAGATTCTTCCTGACTTTTCACAGCAGGGTTCTGATGTGGAGTGTGAAAGCATAACTTTAATGGAAGATTCATGTAGTTTGGATAATACAATTTATATTCCTTTTGCTAGAAGCTCTTCTAAAAAGAATTCACCACTTTCTAAGAGGATATCCCCCAAGCCACAGGTAAGTGTTGCTGCAACCCAGCTGGTCAGCAATAGTGCCCTGACCCGGGAAACAGAAAGTAAACTGTGTTCACCTGTAATTTGTTTGAATAATGAAGCAAAAGATATATCTGAAAAACTTTCCAGAACAGGTGATGCAGAAGACAAACAACTCCTCAAGAAAATAAAGGAAGCAATTCATAAGATCCCTGCTGCCACCAAGGAGCCAGAGGAACAGGCCTACCACGGCCCATCAGTTTGTCACACCACCAATGTCCAAGCAAAAGGCAACACAGTCTGTGATGGCAGCTTTTTAAATTCTGACCTGATGTCAGACTGGAGCATCTCTTCTTTTTCAACCTTCACTTCTCGTGATGAACAAGACTTCAGAAATGGGCTGGCAGCACTGGATGCCAACATAGCTAGGCTCCAGAAGTCCTTAAGAACTGGTCTTCTGGAGAAATGAAATCAGAGGAAAACAGATTGAGTATTTCCTCATTTAGATTAAACTTGACTATATTGAAGATATACTGGTATTTTAAGTTTCCTTAGAGAAATAATTTTTTGCATTATTAATTATGTATGAAAAATAAATTATATGAATAAATAAATTTACCATTGGAATATTTTGATACTTTGGAGCTGACAAAAACAAGTCACCTTTAAAAATTAACAATTGTTAGGGAATAAAGTTGTAGATAACTAGCAAAATATTACATTGTTTCAATTTAGTACTTAACAGTTATTAAATTAGCAATTTATTAAATTTAACACCTGGGTTAAGGGTACAAATTGAAAGGATTTTGTGGTTATTTTAAGAATGGGAACAAGGGATCTGTGGAAACAATTGTTATTCCAAAGTAGAGTTTCTTTTCGGTTTAGATATAACTTTATTTTTAAATGGCATTGTATGTTTATGTGGGATGCTTTGTGCTGTGGGCCAATACAGTTGATGAAATGTATAAACGTTTCTTTTATGAAAAAAGGGACCAGATATCACCACTTCATGAGAAAAAAAAAGCATTGATAACATCCTCAGTTGACATGTTTTCTTAAATCCTGATGTTTTAAGGCCTTCAAAAAAGAAAAAGAGACTGATACAAAAATGCTAAAACCTAAATTTTACTTGTAGAAATTTTGTGCGTTTTTTTAATGAATAAGAAATGTTTGGAGATTTTATCCTTACTATCTTTGAACATGATGGAGTTTGAAAATCTTGGCACTGGCTGTCATTCTGCTTTCTAGGCAAGTGTTCCTTTTTATCATTTAGCAAAGAACTTTCTCTTTTGTATAAATTATGTAAAATATGTTGTTCTCTCTGTCAACTTTTCTGTACTAGTCTTCATCACTGCCCAGTATCACCTCCCTCCAGTGCATCTTCTTTTTTTTTTTTGGTACCAGGGATCGAACTCGGTTCCTTTCACTTGCAAGGCAGGTGCATCTTTTTTAAAAATAATTTTATTGGTACATTTTAGGTATACAATATAATGACATTAATCATTGGAAATTTGCACCTTACACAGTCTCTCTTGGTTCTTATTTTTTCCCCATTTCCCTCCCCTCACTTCAAGCCCTCCATCCCTATTTACAAAGACTTTGTTTCCATTTTCTCATATTAATTCCATTCCCTTTCTTTTCCCCTATCCCCCTTACTTCCCCTTCCCCATTGCCCCTTTTCTTCCTGTTTCACATTATCTATTACACCTTTTAGTCCTTATTTACACTTTCAGTTTCTCACACCAGAGAAACTATTCAGTATTTACACATGTGTGTCCAATTTATTTCACTTATCACCTGAATGTGCATCCATTTAGCTATAAATGCCTCTAATTTCTCATTTTTTATGGCTGAGTAGTACTCCTTTTTTTGATATCAGGAATCAAACTCAGGTCCTTAGCTTGCGAGGCAGGTGGTGGAACCACTGAGCTAAATCCCTGGCCCCTCCATTTTATTTTATTTAAAAAAACACATTTTCTTTATCCAATTTCCAGTTGATGGGCAATTGGGTTGCTTCCAAGTTTTAGCTATTACAAATTGTGCTGCTATGAACATGGGTGCACATATATCA